CAGGGCTCAGGTGAGCTAGCTAGCCAGGGAGCTCCTCCTTGAACCGTGAGCTCTCAAAGTGCATGCAGATTTGCTAATCCTCGGCTCATACATATACCATCGATCTGAACATTGTCAGAAATGGTGAGGCTGCTATTGGAGTGGATGCCATGTGGCCCATCCCTGGTTAGCCAAGTCGACGACACCGGCAGCACTCCGCTTCATTTTGCTTCGCCCACCGGTGACCACCTCTCCGTCGCTGTGCCGCCGTGCGTGGTGCGCATGCGGGACTCCGGCGGCCTCTCTGCTCTCCATGTCGCGGCGGGGATGGGCCACGACCACGTCGCCGAGGCGCTGATCAAGGCCTGCCCCGACGCCGCCGAGCTCCGGGACGACCGCGGCGGGACCTTCCTGCACGCCGCGGCCAGGGGAGGCCACCTCAAGGTGGTGCGGCTGGCCATCAAGAAACGGACGCTGCGCGGCCTCCTGAACGCGCAGGACGGGGACGGCAACACGCCTCTCCACCTGGCGGTGGCCGCGGGCGAGCCGGCCATCGCGGAGGCCCTGATGGGGAAGGGCAAAGTGCGGGACGACGTCATGAACAACGATGGCCAGAAGCCGCTGGACCTCGCCGTGAGATCGACTAGCTTCTTCTCCATGGTCAGCCTGGTGGCGACGCTGGCCGCGTTCGAAGCGCAGTCCCGTCCCGAGAGGCGGGACCGCGTGCAGCAGTGGGACGGCCGCGAGATAACGAAGGCGATAGAGAAGACGTCCGACAGCCTTGCGGTGATCGCCGTCCTCGTTGCCAGCGTCGCCTTCACCGCCGCCAACAACCTGCCCGGGTCGTACGAGCAGAGCAGCGGCGGCACCGATCCGGAGGGGAAGGAGGTGATCAAAGGCATGGCGGTCCTCCAGCACGAGGCCATCTTCAAGTGCTTCCTCATCCTGGACAGCTTCGCCCTGGTGACCTCCGTGCTCGCGGTGGTGCTGCTCCTCTACGGCAAGGCGTCGCGCTCGGCCGGGTCGTGGAAGACCTTCGGGGCGGCCCTGCACTGCCTGTGGCTTTCCATGGTAAGCATGGTCCTGGCGTTCTACGCGGCCCTGGCCGCTGTCACGAGCACAGCGGCGGTCCGCGGCATCGCCTACAACATCATACGCAATGCCCTTTTCGTGCTGTTAGCCGTGGTCTCGCACTTCGTCAGCCCTCGGGTGTCGTCCCGCACACTATCCAAGTACCTGTGGCATAGAGGATGTCACAGTGTCATCGTGCAGCAATATCCACTCGTCGGCGCTTTCTTGCGCAATCTGATTCTGTTCAGGGTTGCAAATTATGTTGTAGTGCTTGTGGGCGTTACCACGGTCTTAGCACTTCGGTGACCGTGTGGCAAAAAGGGAGACGATGCATTTTACGTAAGAAGAATATTTTGAATATTCATATGACCTATGTATTTTATAGTATAAGGGAGATTTCCTTGTTTGGCCCTACTTGAAAAATGTACTCCTGTATTTTGTTGAGTATCATGATATCCCTTCTAACATATTTGATCCTGAAAAATAATTTCATCTCTATTTGGTCCTCTATCTAAATTTTCTTTTTATATGACATTTCCATCCATTTTTCCATTTGACACGTTAACTGGCACGGGAAAAGACCATTGTGCCTTCATGTTCAAAAAAGCCAAAAGTTTTTTTGCGGGTGAATAACTTGTATTACTCAACTCATAGAATTACAATCATCAGCAGCTAGCTGGACAGTTTTCTCAGGACCAGAACCCAACCAAGTCATGGTACTACCTTTGGTACGAGCAAAATTAGCTAGACTCACTAACCCTATTTTGGGATCGAGATATATGAGTAATACATGATTCACGAAGACTCAAAAGATATCTAATTTCAGTAACTATGAAAGAATACACCAATCTATCAACTTCTTTAGACTGAACAA